ATCATTAAAGGGTTAGTTCACCCAAAAATGAAAATTCTGTCATTAATTACTCACGCACATGTTGTTTCAAACCCGTAAGACCTTTGTTCATCCTCGGAACACAAATAAGATATTTTTGATGAAATCCAAGAGCTCTCTGACCCTCCATAGATAACAATGTATCTGATACATTCAAGGCTCAGAAAGGTATTAAGGACATTGTTAAAATAGTCCATGTGACATCAGTGGTCCAAATTTAATTTGATGAGAAAATAATATTTTTTGTGCACAAAGAAAACAGAAATATCGACTTTATTTAACAATTCTAATATACGTTTCTGGGCCTGGGAATGTTTCAGTTACATTGCTATCTACGGAGGGTCAGAGGGCTCTCATTTTTGATTTCATCAAAAATATCTTAATTTGTGTTCCGAAGATGATCGAAGGCCTTACGGGTTTGGAACGATATGAGGGTGAGTAATTAATGACAGAATTTTCATTTTTGGGTGAATTAACTCTAGCCCTAAACGTTCTCCATTTCCCACAGAAGAAAGTCATATGGCTTTGAAGCAATGAGTAAATATTGACAATAATTAGTGTGAACTGAATATTTTAAGACACTTATAGTAATTACATGTCAATTGCAATTAAATGAAAATGTATTAAATCTAAATCAATGGAATTAGCTGAATTTTAGACTGCTCTTTGACCCACTTTAGCAGAACTTAAGAAGTATCCTTTATATGTAATTTCACAGTTACTTCTGTTGGCTTTGAAAAATACTGCAACCTGAAATGTAATACTAAAAATTGTATGTCATGTATTTAACAAGCGGCAACTCTCTCATGAAACCAACACGGAAGTGACTAAAACTGCAATTCATCGACTGGCCGCTAGAGGTTAGCTCCAAAAGGAGTCAGTCCCATAGACCTCTCATGTTAAAATGCCGGACTTTACAGCAGAAAAAATATGTTTACAGCCTGGTACAAAAAGTGGTTTGTCTTGTTTCCTTTCTTCTTTTCGTTTCCAGGCAAAATCAGCTTTATTGCCAACATTAGGGATTTGAGAAAATGTCGAAACAGATGTGGACTAGTACCTAAATAACTTAATTTAAAACAGTTTAAATAAGGAGGGAAAAGTATGCCTTTGCTTTTAGAAAATATATCTTTTTATTTGAAGACTTGGAATCTATTTATAGTTTTTTGTCCCTTTTTCTGAAACTTGAAAGCCTACAAGTCAGTGTGTGCTTTTGTAGTATGGAAAAGTGCATCATTAAAGGGTTAGTTCACCCAAAAATGAAAATTCTGTCATTAATTACTCACGCACATGTTGTTTCAAACCCGTAAGACCTTTGTTCATCCTCGGAACACAAATAAGATATTTTTGATGAAATCCAAGAGCTCTCTGACCCTCCATAGATAACAATGTATCTGATACATTCAAGGCTCAGAAAGGTATTAAGGACATTGTTAAAATAGTCCATGTGACATCAGTGGTCCAAATTTAATTTGATGAGAAAATAATATTTTTTGTGCACAAAGAAAACAGAAATATCGACTTTATTTAACAATTCTAATATACGTTTCTGGGCCTGGGAATGTTTCAGTTACATTGCTATCTACGGAGGGTCAGAGGGCTCTCATTTTTGATTTCATCAAAAATATCTTAATTTGTGTTCCGAAGATGATCGAAGGCCTTACGGGTTTGGAACGATATGAGGGTGAGTAATTAATGACAGAATTTTCATTTTTGGGTGAATTAACTCTAGCCCTAAACGTTCTCCATTTCCCACAGAAGAAAGTCATATGGCTTTGAAGCAATGAGTAAATATTGACAATAATTAGTGTGAACTGAATATTTTAAGACACTTATAGTAATTACATGTCAATTGCAATTAAATGAAAATGTATTAAATCTAAATCAATGGAATTAGCTGAATTTTAGACTGCTCTTTGACCCACTTTAGCAGAACTTAAGAAGTATCCTTTATATGTAATTTCACAGTTACTTCTGTTGGCTTTGAAAAATACTGCAACCTGAAATGTAATACTAAAAATTGTATGTCATGTATTTAACAAGCGGCAACTCTCTCATGAAACCAACACGGAAGTGACTAAAACTGCAATTCATCGACTGGCCGCTAGAGGTTAGCTCCAAAAGGAGTCAGTCCCATAGACCTCTCATGTTAAAATGCCGGACTTTACAGCAGAAAAAATATGTTTACAGCCTGGTACAAAAAGTGGTTTTGGTCTATATAGCTAATTTTGCCCTTCATGACAACTGTGAGGGGGATGAATTTTTTAATAACTCATCCGTTTAAATTATATTAAGCCTTAAAGTTCTGCCTAATTAAGGGCGTGGCCACTTGAGTGACAGGTGGATTGCTGCTGCTGTCACCACCGTCGAGCTAGGTGGGCGTGGCCTCAGCAACCAGCTCCCACCTCTTTGCTCATTTTCGATTATCCGGGAGTGACGCGGGGTGACGCGCTGCCAAGATGGCGACAGCCGGCTCCGCCCACTTTGAGCTTCAAAAACGCTCTTCAGAAAACTACGGGTGACGTCACGGACACTACATCCATGTTTTTATACAGTCTATGGTAATTAAACATATATTACCCATTTGTAATGATTCAATTCAATTCAAGTTTATTTGTATAGCGCTTTTCCCGATACAAATCGTTGCAAAGCAACTTTACAGCAAATTACGTTTCTACAATATTTAGTGGTAGCTTATCAGTGGTGACTGTCAGTTAATGTACATATGGCAGAAATGATCTGAAATGAAGTTGCAATTCAATACGTTTAAAATATATTAACCTTAAATGTAGTTTTGAATAACACAGTTATATACTTTACAATGCATTTGCCTTGGTACCTCAGTATATACTAGTATATCAGTCACCAAAATAATTGTGCTGCTTTAAAGCATGACAAAAGATTACTAAAACATCATGATTTAAAATGTAGGCCTACTGCAAAGTACGACTTTTAATTTGACGTTATTACAAAGTGATTTTACTTAAAGGGATAGTTCACCCAAAAATGAATATTCTGTCATTAATTACTCACCCTCATGTTGTTCAAAACCCATAAGACTTTTGTTCATCTTCGGAACAAAAATTAAGATATTTTTGATTAAATCCGAGAGCTCTCAGACCCTGCATAGACAGCAGTGCAACTGAAATTTTCACAGACACAGAAATGCAGTAAGGACATCGGTAAAACAGTCCATGTGACATCAGTGGTTCAACTTAAATTTTGCGAAGCTACGAGAATACTTTTTGTGCGCAAAGAAAACAAAAATAACATCATTTATTTAACAAATCTTCTCCCCCGAGTTACTGTCTTCCGCCATTTTAGAGAGTACCCAAGAATGCAATCAGCGTTGTTTACGTTCAGGGGGAACGCGCGCGTATGGACGTAATCGGCGTAATCAGCATTGTTTACACTTAGGGTAAAGCGTGCGTATGCGTTGTGATATGCTCCAAAATGGCGGAAGACAGTAACTCGGGGGAGAAGAGTTGTTGAATAAAGTCGTCATTTTTGTTTTCTTTGCGCACAAAAAGTATTCTTGTAGCTTCACAAAATTGAAGTTGAGCCACTGATGTCACATGGACTGTTTTACCGATGTCCTTACTACGTTTCTGTGTCTGGGAACATTTCAGTTGCGTTGCTGTCTATGCAGGGTCTGAGAGCTCTCGGATTTAATCAAAAAATCTTAATTTGTGTTCCAAAGATGAACGAAGGTCTTACGTGTTTGGAACGAAATGAGAGTGAGTAAATTAATGACAACATTTTCATTTTGGGGTGAACCAACCCTTTAACTGTGAAACAGTCATGAAATTTTACTCTCTTTGACGATGTAAGTGAACTTATATTTCATTAATATTATATTACTTGCAAGTAGAGTTTTTTTTAAATGTGATTTGAAGTACATTACAAGTGCACATTAAGCACAGTTAAGTGCACTTATTCACAAGGGTTTAATTTTTTCATGATTTCTCACTTTAAAGACCAAATGATTTTAGATGGCTTATATTGTCTCGTCACGTGTGGAATTGGAATTTAATAGTATTCTAGAACAAAGGTGAAATTCGTAAGTGAAATGCATTATGTTTTAACAAATAAGGTTGTCGCCCACACAGCAAGATTAAATGGACGTGATGACAGGTTTAGACTATAGTATTTGAATCGCAGCTATTTGGCATGAAATGGAGAAACTCGACTCAGTAATTCATCTCACCCCAGCAAGTTTAGGCATCACCTGTCACATCTCGCATTGATACTTTGGCATTTGAAAGATACAGAGATAAGAATCCTCTAAATCAATCACAAAGAGCTTAAGCAAGAACAAACACATGCTGTATGGCACTGAACCAACAGGGCAAATGGATTTTCTTAAGGTAATGAAAGGCAAACTTGTTTTACTACCAAGCTTTTCTCATTAAGCAATTAATATCTCATTTATAGGCTCAGTTAAGCATTTTTGTTGTTCAAAATAACAATTATGATTTTTATTTAATTTTTATTAATTATGAATTGATTTATTAATTGATATTACATGCTAGAATAGTAGTTCAGATGGGCTCAACACATGCACAAAAGAAAATGACATGACAATTTAAATGCACAACTGCAACACTTTATTATAAAAAAATGAATTAAATGTATATGTACTGCCCTCTTACCCACTCAATCACACACACACACACAAACAAACAAACAAGGCTATGCCGTTCACAGGTTATATTTGACTAAAGCATAAACAAATATACAGTATATATATACATAAAGTGTAAAAAGATTCTTTATGAAGCTTGGAGACAAAGAGAGCAAATGTTCACAGTTCGTACATTCATATTGTTCTAATACAATGAACAGAAGCAGACCATGCAATACAGTTCCTTATGAACCTCTGCATGAAGATAGCAATTCATAGGTGTAGAAAATATGAATCAGCAGGATTGATAGTGGTAGAAACTACATACTGTTACATTAGTGTGTTGGTGATATAAAAATATTTTGGTCTGCGGTGGCGTGATCAAAGCTGCCTCTGAAACCCGTACACTACATATTGCCAGTGCTTTTCGCACTCATTTTCTGTATCATTTGTTGTATCCATGTTATTCTTGGATCAGCACAGATCACCCTGAAATTCTTCAGCTTCAAGCTGTGTGGAAAACAGAAAAAGAAAATGAGAAAAGGACATCATAAATCTACAACCGTGACTGTTTAATTGCTGGATGAGACGATCAAGGGTTGCTTTGAAAGCGATTGTGTTGATGTGTTTTATGTCGTACTCACGCAACAGCAGGAATGTTACATCCTCCATCTGTTTCTTGCACTCTGTAACTCATGACATGCCTCCTGATGGTCTTCTTTACATGGGCATACGTCAAACAGCAGTTTTCATAGGAACCTGGGAATAAATCACAATTATATTTAGTCACTTGATCTATCTATCTTAAAAAAGTGGTATGGAGCATATTAAATGAATCAAGAAATTTGTAAGTAGAAAGACGAAAATAGTTTTTCATGTAAACTCCAATAAGAAAATAATTTTTGCACTTTATCTTTTTATATAAAAAGTAGTAACCTGCACTCGTTACCCGATTTAACCCATAGGAATTAGTTTTGATTGTACAAATGAGTGTATTTAGGGTGAAACAGTGATTTTGGCTTGAATAAAACCAGTTAATTTAAATGCTTATGATTTTTTTCCCAGTGTATTTATCTATGCATACTACTTTATGCTTATTCATATATTCATTATATCATACATTAAAAACGATCTAAAATCAAAACTGTACATTTTTAGAAATGTGCATATTTAAAGAAATGATATATTTAATATTGCATCATTAATATCACATTATTAAGTCATCGCACTTAATTAACCAAATTCTTACCTTGTGCCACACTGGGATACATACAAGCCAGCAGCAAGAGAAGAAACAGGACTTGAAACTTCATGGTTGAATGCTGGGTTTCCATGTAAGCTGCAAGAAAAGACAGGGAAATGTTCAGTGCAATTTTCATTTTATTAAGTGCATCCGCTAACCAAAATCATGTGGCTCTAAAGTGCTGAATAATGGCTGTAGATTGCATGTCTCATCTGCACCTCAAGAGATTCTCAGAAGAATGAGGTTTTTCTTCACGGCTGAAGCTGCTCTTATCTCCTCCTCTGTTTTGCTTGTTTCACTTTTTATAGCAACAAAACTCTGCCACGCCCCCATCACATTTTACCTAGATTTTACATTCTGTTGCATTAGAAGATGTTAATATGAAAGTGGATCCTGTGGACTGACTTTATTGTTTTGACAAATCGCAGTTGACTTAAGAGTTCCAGCTCGACAAACATAAACAGGAGGACTGAAGCGATATCTCTAATATCTCAAATTACAAATCTCTATATTTGGTCAGCAGTGAGATGTTTCAACATGGGGGAAAGAACCGCTTTTTTACAGACCCCATTTCTCACCCCTGCTTAGTATTGTACAATACAACATCTTTGCCAAAACCCCCCCCCCAAACATCTGCTTTAGGACTTTTCATGGCCTGTGTGCCAATACAAACATATGAAATGCAATATTGCACAACAAGATTCCCCTAAATTGATCACACTTTTGAAAATGTCCAGTGCTACATGTGTGTGTTTATGTCACTGAATCTTTTTGCTCCCTCGTGGATGTCTCAACTCTGATGACCATTTACTGTCTCGGCCTTGACCTGACCTGAATCTGACCTAAACTGCAGCATTTTGGCTGCGTCTTTCAGAAGAGATGTAGATGTCTTTGATTTTGTGACAGCTAGTGATCTTCTGCAGGGCTTTGCCAGTAAGACTGACAACAATTCATGGCGTGCCAACAGCGCAGTTCTGCTGCATATAGGGGGATTCCAATTTTTAATAAACAGCATTTAACCAGAAGAATCTCATCTTTTGGTGCATTTTACTTTCGATGTTTCCAAGCTGTCGTATGACCTTTAGACCTGGAATTCTGCAGAAAGTGCAGTGTTTCATATGAAGTCCCACTCCTTGACCAAGTCTTGACACTTGAGGGCTTAAAGCAAGGGTCAGATTTCTTTACTAGCAAAAAGAACGCCACGTTCACTTTCAAAGAACATTAGAAGACACTTCAGTCTCTTTGGGGACCAACATTTTATGTTTCCCAGCAAAACTGATGGCTGGAATGTTAAATAGTCCCATATGGAGAACTGTTGTCTTGATTCATGCAGTTCATCTTTTTGTAAACATTAATTGTTTTTTAATTTAAGAAAGTTCTCCCGATGTTTTCTAGAATGCTGCAGAAGTACAGCTTTAATCAAACTACACTGCAACAAAGAGATAGGCCTATGCATATTTTATTTCTTCGTGACATGCCATCAGTCAATTTATAATAAAGTCATATTTCTAAGTCGATATGTTGCAGATGGTCTTGGTTTCATCTGTCTCTAATTTCTGAGGAGAAGCCTACAGTAGAATTTATGTGACAACTTAAACATCTTCTCTCCCCAGTAACTGTGAACATCCCATATTCTTTCAGCATTGCTTCGAGCTGAGTAATGCAGAGGCTTTATACTCATAAATTAATGCATTTACAGGCAGTATCATGCTTCATTTTCTGTTTTCGCGGCAAACTCTTATAATATTAATCAAGAATAAATAACAGCATTTCCCAAAATGTAATGAAATTCAAGATTAAAAAGTGTTAAATGCAAACAACTGTGCTGTTTTTACAAAATTACAAAATTTCAAATTAAGTTTTACAAAAACACATCAAACTTCCACTCTGATCAGGAATCGAATCACTGTGAAATTCTGATTTAATTTCGAAATAATTGAAAGAGTGTGGGATGAATTAAAACACATGCATTTTTGGATACACTGTATTTATTTAATTTGACTTTTTAATTGATCTATTTTTATTAAAGAACAAAAGTCATATAAATAAAGGACATCAAAGTATCGAAGTTAAAGTTCCGGTTATAATATTAATCAACAACAACAACAATTAACCATACATACATACATGTACATAACAGCATTTCTAAGGAAAAATATTTTCTAGGTTACATGAAATGTATAAATAAAATTCACAGAAATTTTCAGTGTCACTTTGGGTAATAGCAACAGTACCCTGTATGTTCCAGACATCCAGAGGACACTAAATCCTCTACAAAACCTCATGTAAGATGTTTCTGGCTCAAACTGTATATGCTAAATGGGTTTTCATAAATCTTAACCTCAAGAACCGAACATGAAGAGATCCTATTTTTATTGAAGCAATCTGTGGGAATCTGGCAGAGGCGTTATCTATGGTGGGGACATGCTGGGGCACTGCCTCAAAATAGGGTGGCCACCAGAGACAAAACTAATAACTATGAAAATCTATGGTACACTATTAAAAATGGTTAATCTTCAAATGTAAGCTTAACATTTTTTAAATGTTCATCTAATCTCATTTTGTAAGTGACTTTTCTTTCTGTTTTAAAGATATTTTCTTTGGATTGTTTTACTCAAAAGAGAATATAGGAGAATTTCCTGCTAGCTAAATTTCACATACATAAACAAAAATCTGGTTCTAAACCTCTCTTTTCTTTATTCAAAATGGATCTAGACAAGTACATGGAAACTATTTAAAACTCTGTTAATCCTAAAGTGAAAACTGCATCTCCGTATTCATCCTGTGTCCTCTTAGGTTGTACATTTATTACAGTTTTTTTGTTAACCTGGCAACACATCGATTACGAAAATATGCATGGTTTAAACTCCAAAAAAAACAAAAAACAAACAAAACAACAACAACAAAAACATGGTTACTATAGTAAAACCTTGGTAACCACAAATTAACCATGGTTTTGCTACACTAACCATAGTTTAACTATAGTTTGTAGCAAAATTGTGCTTATGCAAAAAAACAAACATGGTTACACTTTTACTATAGTAAAACCACAGTTAGTTTTCTTAAGGGATTTGTATTTGTGTAGACTATACTTTCCTCTTTTTTGTTTTTATAACTCTACTGCCTTTGATGTTTTCTACTGTTTAATAAAAAAGAAAAGAGAAAAAAAAATTTGCGAACCCGCTCCGAAGTTCCTATCTAAATAAAATGATTCACGATGCTCCGAAGTTCCGATCTGAATCAAATGATTTGCGAACCCACTTTGAAGTAGAGGGCTGCATAGAATACCCAAGACGTGTCACTCGTATAGTTTTGAATGGGGAAAAATGAAACGCTCAGTATGGCCGCTCTATTGAATGAAGCCCAGCCTTCTGAGTAAAAGAGCCAATCCCTAATCGGTAATGTCAGCGCATCACTGCAGCTACTGTTAGAAGTCCCGGTTGCCAGAAAAACAGTCAGCGTTCTGAGACGTGCGCCTAGGACTGCGCATGCGCACTGGCGGATCTAGAAATTTGATGTTTCCAAATTCAAAGAGATAGGATTTGCACTTGCATGCCCAAGAGGCGTTTCAAAGATGGCCTCCGAGTGACATGACTTGCCTTAAAGGGACTTTGGCTGCATTGGGACTGAGATCCTGCGGGTCCCACGGGACCCAACAGAAATCTCACGGGAGTGGGCGGTTTTACCTTTACCACAGTTTTTTCATACATAGAATGCTAAATGTTTCAATACAAGCATTTCGGTCAAATGTAATATATGCAATATTTTAAACCTTTAACCCACGAGGGAAAATCAGCCCATGGCAAAAGTTTAAAAGCAGCTTAATTCCGTCGAAAAAACAAGGACTTGACAACCCTGCATCCAACAGCAGCTGCAAGAGTCAGATTTGACTGGGTCAAGAGTTAGGAGAGATGACTGACAAGATCATGCTGGAGGATTTGCTGCTCAACAGATCCTGAGCTCATTAATAATGATCTTATCTTGTATGATGTGCTTGCTTTACACAGAGTGTGGGAGATCGCAAAATCGAAAGTGAAAGTAAACAGCGAGTGCTCATTCAAAAGCTATTTAAATATCCTGCATAGTGGCTCCCTGTTGCGAGATAATAATATAAAGTATTAAGGCCCTTTCACACGGTATGCGGCAGTCGCGAGTGTCTAGTTCATTCTCAGTGGGAGACATGCGGAAAGCGGCAAAACGCGGGCGGTTTCGCTGGCGGTGCGGAGGCGGAGCGCAATCGGTGCTTGTGTACCCAAAATCCTGCCGCTTCCACGGGCACGGCGCTTCGCGGCAGGCGCCGCCAAAGATAAAAATATTTGATCTTTTTTGTGAGCGGCAACGGCAGCTGCGTCGGTTTCAACCAATCAGTGAACATTGAACTGAACTGCCTATTGAAAAAATAGAGGAGAAGTTTGTTTTAAGTGTAATAGCCTAGATTTCCCAGAACTGTATGACCCATCTAAAATTTCATACAGAAGCATAAATAAAATTATATTTCATTCAGTCGTAACCTCACAGGCATGCTCTTTAGGCAAATCATCAAAAACAACTTCACTTGTGCCAAACGGGAAAAAAAAGGTTAAAAATAAATAATGACAACAATTAATGGCAGAATGACACAAACACAAATGCGGCAGTCGCGAGTGTCTAGTTCATTCTCAATGGGAGACATGCGGAAAGCGGCAAAACGCGGGCGGTTTCGCTGGCGGTGCGGAGGCGGAGCGCAATCGGTGCTTGTGTACCCAAAATCCCGCGCCGCCAAAGATAAAAATATTTTATCTTTTTTGTGAGCGGCAACGGCAGCTGCGTCGGTTTCAACCAATCAGTGAACATTGAACTGAACTGCCTATTGAAAAAATAGAGGAGAAGTTTGTTTTAAATGTAATAGCCTAGATTTCCCAGAACTGTATGACCCATCTAAAATTTCATACAGAAGCATAAATAAAATTATATTTCATTCAGTCGTAACCTCACAGGTATGCTCTTTAGGCAAATCATCAAAAACAACTTCACTTGTGCCAAACGGGAAAAAAAAGGTTAAAAATAAATAATGACAACAATTAATGGCAGAATGACACAAACACAAATTTCCGTTATATTTTATTTAGTTTTTAGTAAATACAAAGGTGATGTTGACAATTGTAACTATGGCAATGTCCGCTCTGAGACCGAAACGCGACCACCGCCTCAACTGCACAAAAGCGCCAGCCGAGCGGCGATTTCACCGCTTGCCGCGTCCTGTGTGAAAGGGCCTTTAGAATGCTTGCAGGAGCGGGTGGGGACCGGTGTTGTGCCGAATTCTGCACCCCTGCCAGATT